GTGTATTGGTTATCTACTGCTGCATAACAAATCAAGTGGCTTACAACAATAATAACATTTCTTATTTAACAGGGTTTCTGTGAGTCAGGTATTCGGGAGCTTGGTTTGATGGATCTAACTCAGGATCTCTCAAGAAGCTGCAGTTAAGGCAAGTGGGGATAGTAATCATTTAAAAGCTTGACTGGACTGGAGGTTCCACTTCAAGGCAGCTGACATGGCTGGCAGGTTGCATGAACGTCCACAGGTCATGGTGGCTGACTTCCCCTAGAGCAGTAGTTCTCAACTGAGGGTGATTTTTGCTTTCTATGGGACATTTGGCAATGTCTGGAGACATTTTTAGTTTTCCCAAATGGGAAAGTGTTTCTGGCATCTGGTGGGTAGGGAGTAGGTATGCTTCTAAGCATCCAACACTGTATAGGACAGCCCTCCACAACATGAGTTCTCAGAACCACAGAACCACAATGTCAACATGCTGAGGCTGAGAAACCCTGCTTTAGAGCAAGTGAACCAAGAAAACAAGGTAAAAGCTAAAATAACTTTTGTTACCCAGTTTTGGAAGTCCTCTTGTATTCTATGTTGGTGGGAACTAACACGAGGGTGTATATATCAGGAGGTGAGGCTCACTGGGAGCCATCTTGGATGAAGGCTACCACAGGTACGAAGCTTTTCCTGGTCCTTTTTTATTCTCCTGCTTCCTTCTTTTTTTTATGTTAAAAAGGTTTTGAATAGGAAAACTCTTCTTATACCCCCATCAGACTTCTCTTTATTCCAGTCAGTGCTGCATGAGACACCTATGTCTAAACCAATCTCTTGGAGAGAGAAGAGAATTACTGTGATGAGTTCAGATAAGTTAACATTCATTCTTGCTCTGGGGTTGGGAAGAACTCATATTCTTGAAACACATAGAGAATAAATTCTCAAAACCAGAATTTTTCTAGTATGGAAGAAAGAGAATGACTGAGTGGGTAGCAAACAGTCTGCTACCTTTGCTTATCATTGTCTTTTGTATTGCATGTTTTCTTTTTTGATTCAGGTTTTCAGTGGAATGCACTTTTCAATAATTTAAGAGATGATCAATCATTTGAATCCTTACGTATCTGAAAATGTCATTATTTTGCATTCTTTCTTAAATGATAGTTTAGTTGGGTAGAGAATTCTAAGTTAAAATCAATTCCAAGACTTTGTTCCATTTTCTACTATTACTAGCATCTATTGTTGCTGGTGAGAAGTAGGTGACTTGGTGAGAATTTCCTTGGTATCCTTAATATTCTAAAATTCCTTCATGATTTGTTTAGTGTGGTATTTTTTACTTAAACACTAAATGAGGGCTTTTAACCTGAATATATTGGAACATTTTCTATGATTTCTTTGAATATTTCCTTCTATCCATTCTCTAGCTCTCTTGTTAAATAAATATTGAAATTTCTGGATTTATTCTCAATATTACTTAAATTTTCGCTCCCTGCTTTATATTTTCTCTGTAATCTGGGAGAAAACGACCCAGTCTTCTAGCTTACTAAATCGTCCTTCAGTTCAGTGTGAGTCAGTATAGCATGGTGATTAAAAGCCTGAGTTCAAATTCTGTTTTAGTCATTTATGACTGTGCTCCCTGGAGTAAATTAATTAACCTATTTTTCAGCTTACTCATCTGTAAAATAAATATGCTAATAATGTTGCCTATTTTGTAAGGTTATAAAGATTAAATATGTTAATATATGACTATTATAAGAGTATCTGCAGCATAGTACCACTGATTATTGTTCAACTCACTTAAACAATTTCAATAAATATGTTCTTAATAAGTCCTCTAACTGATTTGTTTTCACAGTAACCTCGTTCTTTTTAATGGATGTAAGGTCCTGCATTATCCTTCTGAGAGTGAAAAAATCTGTATGTCACAAAACTTCTTTTTGCTCCTATAAAAATATCTTGGAGTTTTCAGTTTGCTTATTGATTGAAATTGGTGCTTCTCTTTCATACTAATAGATTTCCGCAAATAACTGGTGATTGGTCTGCTCTTCTTGGGCCTTCCCAGGTGGTTCAGTGGTAAAGAATCCATCTGCCAATGTAGGAGCCACAGGAGATGTGGTTCTGATCCCTGGGTCAGGAAGATCCCCTGGAGGAGGAAATGGCAACCCACTCCAGTATTTTCTTTGGGACATGGACAGAGGACCCTGGCAGGGTACAGGCCATGGGGTCACAAAGAGTCAGACACGACTGAGTGACTGATCATGCATGCAGGCTGCTCATCTCAGTGTTTGGAAATCTCCCTTGCCTATCTGCGTTGCCAGTTCTGAATGTTTGCTTTGCTTACTGTGGTGGGAAGGGGAACAGGGCAGGACGTGGTGCAGGGCAGGGGATGTAGGCAGTTTACTTTCAGATTGTGTGTGTATGTGGTCTTATTTCTCCTGGAAATTGGTGGGCAGCCCCTTGGGGTGATAGTGTTTCCTTGGTCCAAGTGCGCCTTAGTGACAAAACAGACTTAATTCCAAACAACCCGTGCTTAAGATCTTTTAAAAACTTAAATTAGGTACCATTGTTGGAGCCTCCGCTGTGCTTTCCCATTCCATTGTTCTTCTTCCCTTCTCACTGTTCCAAAGTTCATACCTCTGTATCCTTTCTGCCCGTATTCATGCTTTTTTTTTTTAAACCTTGTATAATACCTTTATTTTAGGTGGCATTATTCTTTTTTTAAAAATTTTTTTTTATTTTTTATTTTTTTCCATTTATTTTTATTAGTTGGAGGCTAATTACTTTACAACATTGCAGTGGTTTTTGTCATACATTGAAATGAATTAGCCATGGATTTACATGTATTCCCCATCCCGGTCCCCCCTCCCACCTCCCTCTCCACCCGATCCCTCTTTTAATGTATTCATTCATACATATTTGCTATGCTGTGCTAAGTCGCTTCAGTCGTGTCCGACTCTTGGCGTCCACCAGGCTGCTCTCTCCCTGGGATTCTCCAGGCAAGAATACTGGAGTGAGTTGCCATTTCCTCCTTCAGGGGACTTTCCCGACCCAGGGAATCTCACCAGGGTCTCTTAAGTCTCCTGTATTGGCAGGCGGGTTCTTTACCACTAGTGTCACTTGGGCAGTCCCAAAGTACGAAGTAAACGGATTTGAATTCATTCTCTTCTCTTTTCTTCCTCTTTTTTTTTTTTTTAATTTACTTATTTGGCGGTGCTGGGCCTTAGCGTTACTGGGGATCTCCTCTTACATATTTAGATAGACATAAACAGTGTATCATAATGTTGTACAGGCTTTCAAACCATACATTAATAATAACAATTCTTTCAACCCTTCAGATTACACCAAGAAGAAAATCTCACTTTGGTCAAGTTTTGAATGTCTTTTCTGGCATTTGCTAAATTCTCTTTTAATAAATTAAAGCCCCAAGATAGATAGGTAGAATTTAATAATACTGTTTTATTTTCCATTGTATTCATTTTAATGATTTCCTTCTTTTTGTTAAGCAGGTGCTGCAAGTTTTTCATCCACAGTAGTGACATATATTTCCTTTTAAGTTAAATATAAGGAAAAATGAAGTGTTGAGTTAAAGAAAAATGTTAAATAACTGTCCAGGAGGCATACGTATATGACAAAAAAATTAGATGTACTGAAATTGCTGAAATACGACATACACTTGACATAAAAAAAAATTAAGTCAAGTTCCTTCTTGGGGTATGCAAGGCTCTACCTGATCTGATCTTTACTTTCCTCCTCAGCCCAGTTACCACAATTACTTCACCTTCAGCACAAAATGCTTGGAGTTTCCTCCTTCCCTTAGCAGCTGGAGGGGCCCTGGCTGTTGTAATCTCTCCTTTTATGGTACTTCCTGCGGCCAGCATCCCTGCCTACACCTGACTTTCATCGACCTCTCAGGCTCCTAGGAAGCCCTCCTCCCTTTGGTATACATCACTGTACTATATATATGGTTTTATAAACTGATTCTAAAACCAAGGGTAGAATTTAATACCTGTATCATGACACCCTTATGGCCTGAGCAGCTGATTAACGCTAAAAGAAATGAGTGATTTGTGATGCTTCAAATAAAACTGGGGGTAAAAATGAAGGTTCTTCTTGAAAAAGATGTTTTTCTCATTTTTCATGTGCTTGGAGTTTTAAAAATAGTTCAGTTCATAGATCTCAATACCTGATCTTAATGATTTTCTTTGAACACTGAGAAAATACACTAGCTTGTCTCTAGATTTAAGGTAAAAAAGGCACAGAGAAGGGAAAAAACAAGGACGATGAGAAATGATAGGTTTTTTTTTTTTTAATGTCATTTCGACATAACATATTGGCTTACTGTAGGTTACTACCTTGAGCTGGACCATTTTATTAGAAAATGAGAGATCAAATCAAATGTTTGGAATTATGACACATTTAAACATACGACGTTTTAATGGCAAAAGCTCCTAAACGGTTGTGGCCACTGAAATGTTGGAACAATTTTCAAGTTTTTTGATGCACAATGCATATAAACAAAGACAATATTATTAATAAAAACAGCAGAGTGCATACGGAATGCTGCTCGAAAGTCCTGAGGAACTAACTGCATTGGCTTCCATTCATTCACTCAAAAGCATCATTCTGAAGCTGATATCCACACTGCACAATTAAAAATTCCTCAGGACACTTGGTCAGGAGAAAATTCTCATCTTAGCGGAGATGGAGATAATGCCTTCAAAGCTACAACTGTATTTGGGGGAAAAGCTCAATTTTAGCCTCTCATCCTAGGTATTTCGCGTGGCCAAGGCCGGAGACGCGGCTGGGGGAAGTGACTCGATATACCGGATTACAGAATATCAGGTTTACCACTGTAAACGTTCAGCCTTTAAATTCGAAAGCCGGTGCAGTAAAATTGCTCTCACGCCGTACATCTTCTGGGTTACATCTTATCCGCCAGCCAAACTTTCTCTATTAACCTGGGTAGACGAGCAGCATAAACGCAGCCGGAAAGGAAAATGCAGGGACCGGAGGCGGCGTGAGCTGCCTTAACCCACGTTGCCTTCCGAGTTACCTGAAGCATTCAAACCACTGCACCCAGAGAACAATTCTCGTTTCAATTCGGTCGTTTCCGTGGGGGAATTGCGGCAAGGACAGGTCCTGGGTGTGGCGAGACCAAGACAGAGCTCAGATCGCGCGACTTCCCCGCTTCTGGCAAACCCTTCCAGCCCCGAGGCGGGCAGTGACCGGTCCCGAAGAACTGACATCCTGGATTCCGGGGACCGCTGGCGGACCCGACCCCGCGGCAGTTGCAGATTTCCGAGGCCTGGGGGCGGGGGGGAGGGGCGGCGGGCGGCTGGGCGCCCACACGAGTGAGCTTCTCCCTCATTCGTTCCGCGGCTGGAGGCGGATCCCCTTCTTTGCACCCAAGTCCTTATATGCACCGGTTGCACCAGCCCGCGCTACTCCAGCCCCACAAATAATTAATGGTGGAGGGAGGGCGTCGCTCTTTTTTTCCTCCCCTCTGGATTTTTATTTTTTCACCGCTGGAGCATTTGAACCCTGCGGAGAATTTCTCAAAATGAGACTGAAGGGCCATTTTGCCTCAGGGCACGAATTGGACACACAACAATAAAAGCCCCCTAGTCCCTGCGAGAAGCACGGCAGGGTTCCGGAAAGGTCTTCAGATGCAGCGCGACGAGCCCGCAAAAGCCCAGGCTGGAAGGGTGTGCGCCCCTCCCCCACCCACGGTGGTGCGGAGGGACCGGGTCAGGAAGCGCGGCCTCTCCCCAGTCGGAGACCACGCCTCCTCCGCCTTTCCTCCACCCCCGCCCCCCCGCTTTACTCCTCCCAGGAAGCGGTGATAGACAGTTTTGTGTGGCTCTCCACCCCCACCCCCCCAGCTGAGTGGAGGAGTTGATGTGTCTCATTATAACAGCCAATGCAGCCGCCATCCACGCACAAGCAAAGAAGCATGTCCCATTTAAATACACCCACGCAGCCCCAGCGCCCTTAGCCGATCAGGGCGCGCAGCCCACACGCACCGCGGCTCCAGGGCTTGGAGATCCGCTCAGGTTGGGCTCCCGGACCCGGAGGACCGACGCGCGGAGGATCGCGATCTGGCGCTGTGGGAGCCGGGGTGGGCGGAGGAGGCTGGGCCCCGGGCCTCTGGCGCGACAGCCGCATGAGGACGCGAGTGAAATAGACCAAGGTGGAATTTCCAAGGGAATAGCTTCGGGGTGATTTTGGTCCATCTCTCCCGCGAAGAAGTCGACATGGCGAGCGACTCCCCGGCTCGCAGCCTGGATGAAATAGATCTCTCGGCTTTGAGGGTGAGCGGAACATGTTTTCTGATTTCTTTCCAGTGTTTTGGGTCAGAGTGAGTGGGCTCGGTGCGTGGACTGGGGCTGGGGCTGGTGGGCAGGGGCGGGCGAATGCCACGAGAGGGAACCTGGATTCTCGTGTTGATTCAGGGGCTGCCGAGGTGTTCTTGGCTGAGCCCCCACCGCAGAGATTGTGCGGTACGTGTCCTCCTTTGGAGGGAGCCAGACCTCCCCCCGAAAACCCTTAGAGCTTATGCCAGTTTCATCTTAGACCGGTGTAAGAGCATTAAAATGAAAGGCGCGTGTGGGTGAGAGTGTGTGTGTGCATAAGCCCCGATGCCAAGGCTCTAGACCCCACTGTCCTTTTCTGTAAAAAAGAATCACAACAGCGTGAATAAAGGCACTGGCTCCTCACGTTTTCCATCAGCCTGCAGGAGGACATTGTGAGCCTGACTGGCCCCACGAAGCCGAACCTGCCGCCCCACGGTAGGGGCAGCTCTTGCTGTGCCAGCCTCGTAGATGGCAACTGCCTCCCCTTCCCCCTTTCCTACTGTTCGCGCCCGGACTGCCTCTCGGCGCTCTCTGAAATGCCGCTCCGCCGCTCACCTTTATTTATGGTTTTAACTCAGCCCTGCCTGTGCTTTCTGACTCTGTGGCTGTGACATTTCAGTTTTATGGATGAAGTTAAGCAGGTGAAAGGGATGTGTTTGTTCTCTGCTTTTCCCCAATCAGACCGGAACTCCTGGGAGTGTGTGTGTGTGTCTGTATCTGTGGTCAGCCCTTTGTAAAGCACCTCCCCTCCCCCGTCCGCCCCGAGCCCCCCGGGTTTAATTTACCCTCTCGTGAATTGCCTCGGACGCCGTTTCATTGTATTGACTAAGACATCACTGATACAGAATCCATTTTGCTGTTGTTTGGAGATCGGAATACCAGGAATCCTGGTGCCGCCTCGACGCCTCCCCACCCCCACCCCCCAATCCCGACACACTCCTTCGGGGAAGGGGGCTGAGCTTTCTTGCCATATTAATTAGATGCTGCCTGCCGGGAAGGGGGTGAGGGGTGCGGGGTGGGGGTGGCAGCGGCACCGGAGGTCTGAGTAGGATTGTCTACCCATCTTGAAAGGGCTTTTTCCTCTCTTGACCCCCCCCCCCCAAAAAAAAAAAACAAAGCGATTGTATATACTTGAGGCCAGGAGGGTCGGTGAGACGGAACTCATGGTGGCTCTGAACACAGACAAGGAAGGGGTGAAGCTTGGAAGTTCACACGCCCTCCCGAGGAGTACATTGTTAGGTGGATGCTAAATTTTGGGATTATGTACTTGAATCTTCAGTACTTTCCTTGACATTGCCTCCTTCTCCACGGTTATTTTAAAGAACGCCCTTTATGGTCAGAGTGGTACTTTTTCTTTAGTCTTGTTAATGCTCCCTCTCTGTTTACCCCCCTCTTTTTTAACTCCTTACCCTCTTCTCCTTAATCCTTCCATCTCGGAGGTGAGGTTTCTTCGAGGCAGTCAAGGGGCTGAGAAGAAACAGAGATGCCATTGGAAATGGCTTTTTTTTTTTTTTTTTTGATAGTTGGGTAGCAAAAGCTCATTCATGCGTTATTACAGTAAGCTGTCTATTTCCCTGGCACGGAAATGCCACTGTGAGAGCCCGCGCCCCCCTGGGCAGCTGGGGTGGGGGTGGGGGGTTGGGTAACAGGGTGGGTGCTTTGGCCAAGTGTGTGGCTTCCTGCTTTATAGACGTGTGTGTTCATTTGCCCTACTTTCGGCGCTGGGAGTTGCTGCCAGCGGGTTAATCAGGTGGATGGATGGCCCAGACTTCTGGGTACGGGAGAGTGGCAAAGCTGAGGAGGGAATGGGGAGGGGGAGTCTGAACAATGGGCAAGACTTGAGATTTCCCTGAGCCGGAATCTCAGCATCGGCTTCTCTAACGGATAGCGCTGTGATGTGATTTGAAGTTGGGCTTGATCTAGAGGTGTTTCTTGTGGGCTTTTTCCTGGGGAAGGTTTTCTCAGATGCCAGGCACAGAGCTCGCAGGCTTACGAGCAACCACACGGACTCACCTTGCTAACGGCCGACATGGAGTGCGATTCACACATGGGAGATCTGTGCTCCTTAGATCAGCCTTAAGAGAAGATATTTTTGCACAATTCACTGAAATTTCTCTTCCTGGCTTGGGCTTCAGTGCTTTGACACTGTATTTCTGCCTGCAGGAGGTATGGAAAGAGAGAGGGCTCCAGCTTCCAGCTCGTTCAGAAGATGGGGAACTGCTGGCTGGAGGATTTAAATGTAGACGTGGGGACAATTGCATTCTGGAGGGCTGGGGTTTGTGAGCAGTCTGTTGGTAGGTGAGCCGGGCAGATCCAGAGTTGAGTCCAGAGGCTACAGAGGTAATCTCCTCAAATCAGAGGCCAGACCATCTTTTTCTGTCTTCCTAGATAAGGAGAGATGGGCTCATGTATAGATGAGAGGTCACATTTGTTCCTAAATCTTCAGGAAAGCCTGCCTGCTGAGAACTTCCTGGGGAATGCCTGACCCCTGAAATGCAGCCAAGGTCAGTGGCATCCAGGAGAATTTGCTGCAGCCTCACCAGTCCCTTGCTCTTTTGGTGGCTCTTTAATGTACACAATCAATGCCCTTTTTGTAAACTCTGCGCTCAATGCATTAAAAGCAGATCCTGTCTGGAGAAGCCTTATCCTTTCCCACTTTAGGGGCTTATTGTTCTCAGTGATCCCAGATTGAACCCAGTCTTAAATTTTCCCCAAATAGCAACAATGCATAATTTAGACCAGAGCACCCAGCGACAGCCCTGATGACTTAAATTATGCAAGATTTGGATGGTTTAAGAAGTCAGAAAAGAGAGGATGGTTAGAAAAAAGGTGCTCTGAATCCAGTTTGATTAGTCTTGATTTTTAGAGCTCTAAAGATAAGCTAAGTCTTGAGGGAAGGGAATGGCTTCACAAATTTAGAGCTGGAAGAGAATTGTAGAACACCTAACCACCTAACCACGCCTTTCATTTAATGCTCTGGAAGCTGAAGCCTAGAGAGGTGAAGTCCATTGCCCAAGGTCATACAGCCCCATTCCTGTTTGGAGGTGGAGTGAATGGGGGTGGAGAGAAGGGTGGTTTGGGGAGGATCTAGGTTCCCTGACTATCTCATTCAATGCTCCTTTCTGTAAGTCACTGTCTGTGGCTACATTTTCTGCTGAGAGGCAGAGAGAAATTATTTCACTAGGGTCATGGAGTTTTATTCATCAAAAATAGAGAAACTGCTTCATGCAGATAAGTTCATAAAACATTAAACCATGGAACCTTAAGGTATCTTGGGAATTCATCTTGCCCAACCTCCCTTCAGTTTCTCCTCGGCAGGCAAATGACTGAATCATCTAGGACAGATGGTTGTCTCTGTAACCCTTTTCCATCTCAACATATCTCTTGGGGTCATTCTAGATATACACATTATTCAGATGTATCTGCATGCAAGGTGTATAGAGTTCTATATATGTTTTGTATGATGTATGTGGATACTTATATTCTGTATAGTATTATGGATATAAATGATCCATGTGGGTGTATGAAATGTGTGTATACATACATAGGCAACAGAAAACAATCATTCAAACGTAAGGCTTGAGTCATTCTTCCTTCAAGATATGACAGTATTAAAAGCAATGTGCCACCAGTATGCTTTATTACATAGGAGGTGAGGTCAGCCCAGAAAGCTTTTTGGAGATTAGCATATATCTGAATCTGAGCACGTTGGCCGTCCTTAGCTTGGCCCACAGTGTAAGGCAGTCAAGGCCAAGATTGGTCTCTGCTGACTTCATAGTCTAAGTTTCTGCCAGGACTACGCACTCCCTTTTCTCTTTGAACAGAATTGGATGACCTCTGCTTGTCTTTTTCCTTTACCCCTCATTCCCTCTGGTCCTAACTATTTCTTTCTCCATTGAAACCTAGATTTAAGAATTGACCTTATCTGGAAGACTTGCTTGCATTCTTCCTGCTACACTTTTTGCACTTGTGTTATAAACCATATAGGGTTTTCTTTCTACCTGCTCACTCAACTGAACACTCCGTGGGGCCAGAGGCTAGGTTTTGTTCGTTTCTGAGTCTGTAGTCCCAATTCGTTGAATGAGTGAGTGAGTGAAGTGGATAGAGCACTGGGTTATATGCCCATGTCTTATTGAATTCTGTGACGTTAGATGAGTCCTGTATCCATAATTAACTAAAAATGAGAATGATCACAACTGCTTGCCTTCCTCATACACCGGTTTCATCAATAAAGTATTTATGGCAGTGCTTTGAAAACTGTAAAGCGTTACACAAATATGCTATTCCATGATTAAATAGAATTTTATGGGAAACTTGATTCCACCAGCATTTGATCCCAATGATTGTATGTAATAGAAAGGGATCCTGAGAAAAAGATATTGGAATATTGAGAGTTCTTTTTCCTTTTAATGTACTAGTGTGGCCTTATATTGACCTCTCATGGCCTATAGCCGATCCCCTGATGGCCTGGCTTGAGCTTTACTCCAGGTGAGTTCAGCCCAGAAGCTTTTGGAGATTGGTATATTTCTAAACCTGTAGCAAGTATCAGCATCTTTCATTAAAAACTTTTCTTTTTTAAAGATCTTTTTCTCCTCTTTATGGATTAAACATTATTCAAATAAAAACATATTTATTGTGCTTGTGCCTTTTCAAAATTTGTGTGGGGGTGGCATGGGGGAGGGAGGCTGAGCCTGAAATGATACAGCACTAGTCCTGTATCTAAAACCTTTTGGTTAGAGAAATCTTGACCATTGGTAATTCATTATCCCAGAGTATTTATTTACATTTGGTCTTAAAGGAGAATTTAGTAAAGTTGCATGAATTGGTAAGGTAACAGTATCTTAAAATGACAGTAGCATAACAGTTTTTTAATTAGATACATGTATTGTTTTTTAGAGGTATTAAACAGGTGTTTTCTTTGCCATGATGTTGCCTCATAATAAAGTAGGGTGTATTGG